TCCCGGGATTATTACCTGAACAAGACCGCCAATGAGAGGGTGAGGCTGGGCACAGGGCACACTGCAACTGGGAGAAACCCATAGCAGTGGGGTGCAAGCAGTGCTGTGAGGCACCTGCACCCTGCCCATTGGGTGTCACAGTGCCGAGGGAGGTGGAACGAGCGGTGGCCAGTGCTGAGCCTGGGCTCTGGGACTCACCAGGTCCTGGCAGCATACCTGGACTACATGGTGGAGCTGGGCACACTGCTGGGGGGAATCCCAGAGCCCACCCGCCTCCAGATGCAGCAGGTGCTGGACTTTGAAACCCAGCTGGCCAACATCACTGTGCCCCAGGCTGAGCGACGGGACGATGAGAAGATCTACCACAAGATGAGCATTGCAGAGCTGCAGGTGGGCACCGCACGGCACAGCTTGGGGAATCCTCTGAGGACACAAGGGGTGCTTGTCCAGTGGGACACCAAGGGTTCCAAGCTGCTGACCCCCTTCCCAGGACACCCTGGGCAGCCCCATCTGTTCTGGGACATGTGCTGGGTGCTGGAATGAAGGGCTCATCCTCCTGGTCGCTAGGATTTGGGGGAGCTGCCAACTGCCATGGGGGGGAGGGGGGGGGGGGGGTGAGAGCAGCACTGAGAGCAGCAAGGAGCCACAAGAAGGGTGCTTGGGGCAGAGAAAGGATCTGGAGTGCTGAGGGACCTTTGGACCTTCCTAGGGAGCCCAGACCCTGCCCCAGAGGCTCCCCCCACACTGGGCAGGATGGGGCAGAGCCATGCCAAGCACCTCAGTGCTGTGTCCCCACGTCCTCTCCCTCCAGGTCCTGGCCCCCACCATCGACTGGCTGGATTATTTGTCCTACGCTCTGGCCCCGCTGGAGCTGGCCGACACGGAGCCTGTGGTGGTGTATGGGGACACCTACCTGCAGCAGGTCTCCGATCTCATCAATAGCACTGACAGGAGGTGAGGCCCCCTTGAGCAGCTGACCAGGCCCCATTTGGGGCTGTCCCCATGGCGGGGGCATGCTGTGGGCTCACCGGTGGGTTGGAGGCTAGCATGTAGTGAGCCACAGCATCGCTCTACTCCTGCAGCATCCTAAACAACTACCTGATCTGGAACCTGGTGCAGAAGACGGCCTCCAGCCTGGACCAGCGCTTTGAGACAGCCCAGGAGAGGCTGCTGGAGACGCTCTATGGCACCAGGAAGGTAACAGGGACAGAGCCCCCTCTGCCCTCAGCCTCGAAGAAGTCAGAAACACCTTTGCCGTTGGGATGCCCTTGGGATGCTCTGGATGCTGCAGAGGGAAGCCAGGGATCATCTTTTGGGGTGGGGGTTTAGTCACTGAGCATCTCCCCCCTGGGGAGGGGGCAGAGCTGGGCTGGGTGAAGGAGGGAAGCAGGGGAGGGGACTGGGGGTCTCACAGACCCCCATCTTGCTCCCACAGTCCTGCACACCTCGCTGGCAAACCTGCATCTCCAACACAGATGACACGCTGGGCTTTGCACTGGGCTCTCTCTTTGTCAAAGCTACCTTCGACCGGGACAGCAAAGCTATTGTGAGGACACTTTTTCCCCTGTCCCTTCCCCATCAGCATTCATGGGAATTCCTCCCCTTTCCCACCCATACCCCAGGGCTAGAAAGCATGGAGCAGTGAAATGGGACCCCCAGCCCTGGAGAGGTCCCACTCTGCCCACCCTGTCCCTGTCCAAGGGGCTGTGGGGACAGCGGGGCTTCATTCCCTCCCCAGGCTGAGGAAATGATCAGCGAGATCCGGGCAGCCTTTGAGGTGTCCCTGGATCACCTGGACTGGATGGACGAGGCGACCAGACAGGCTGCAAAGGAAAAGGTGACGGGGGGGGACGGGGGCAGCAGGTGGGAGACCTCTCCCCTTGTCCTGGTAAGCCTTCAGCTCCATCTCACTGCCAGGGCTTCTCCCCACACAGGCGGATGCCATCTATGACATGATTGGCTTCCCTGACTTCATCCTGGACAACAAGGAGCTGGATGATGTCTATGATGGGGTAGGAGAGCACCCGGGTTGTGGGGAGGGGTTGCAGCCTCCCCTTATACCAAGCCCTGGCAGGGCAATGTCCCTGTCTGGGGGACCCATTTGGGATGGGGCTTTGTGTGGAGTCATCCTGATACCAAGCGCATCCTAGCCATGGTGGGGGGAACCAGCCAGTGGGCTCCTCCTCATCCCTCCTCATCCTCACCAGTACGAGGTCTCGGAGGACTCCTTCTTCCAGAACATGCTCAACTTCTACAACTTCTCTGCCAAAGTGATGGCCGACCAGCTCCGGAAACCCCCCAACCGCGACCAGTAAGGGAGAGAGCCTGGGGGGAGCAGAGGATGTGACACTGCCAGTGCCACAGCACTGTCCCCAGCATGGCCTTGGTGGCACTGCTTCACTGCGGGAAGGTCCCCCTATGGGGTAGCGCACCACTGTATGTCCCCCGGGGTGCCTCTGGCTTGTCCACAGGACAGGATCCTTTGGTCATGGGCGAGGGTAAATGTGCCAGCCCTGGGCAGGGCAGCACACGGCACCCGTGGTGGGAGACAACACAGGAGGGTGGTGGGGCAATGGGGACAGGGGACACATCCCTACCTGCCCATGTCCTACCTCCCTGCCCAGGTGGAGCATGACCCCACAGACCGTCAATGCCTACTACCTGCCCACCAAGAATGGGATCGTCTTCCCTGCTGGCATCCTGCAGGCTCCCTTCTATGCCCGCAACCACCCCAAGTGAGCCTGGCACAGGGATGGAAGGATCTCCTGGGGAGGGGGGGCAGGGGGGAGCATGGGCTGGATCAGGGCCAGCACCCCACAGAGCCCCCCACAGTCATGAAGCAAAGCCCTGGGAGGCCTGAGGGTCCCCCAAGGCTTTACATCCTGCAGCCAAGACAACCACCTGTGGGGCCACCTGTGTTCCCAACAGTACTCATTCCCAGCTAGGTGCCAACTGGACCAGAGGCTCACTGCGTCCTCTGAACACAGATGGGGTGCCATTTGTGGAGGGGTTCCTTGGGCCACAGCAGGCTGCAGTGGCATCATTCTCCTGCACTTACCTGTCTCTCTCTCATGGCCCAACAGAGCCCTTAATTTTGGTGGCATTGGTGTGGTGATGGGACACGAGCTGACCCACGCTTTCGATGACCAAGGTGAGAGCCCATGGGCAGTGCTGGCTCCAACCCCCATCACCTTCCTGCCCCCCACCACCTCGAGGGTGTGGAGGGGTGCCATGAGCTCACGGGGGTTCTGCTTTGCCATCCATTGCATCATGCGTGCTCTTGCCCTCCTGGCCCCTGCTTCTACCATCCTGTCTCCCCAGGTGGCACCCGCCGATACCTCCCCCAGGCTTCTCTGTGCAGCTTTCGCTCCATCCGCTTGGTGAGGACACAGTGTCTGCAGCCCCCCTCATCCTCCTCCCTGAGGGGTGCGGGACACGTCCCTCTCACATCCACTCTGTTCTGTGCTGAGATGGGGTCAATGGGGGAATTTGGGATGACAAATGTGGCTTGGGACAGTGGGGATACATGAGGGGATGGCTGGGGACCCGAGCACAGGCTGAGCTCCAGCCAGAGCCCACACAGAGCAGGGATAGTGGGAGGTTATCTCCCCTGGGCATGGACCCAAGGTGCCAGGTCTCCTGGTGTCCGCTTGGGCTGTCCTACCCTGCTTCAGGGCCCCCTGCAGCTGGGGCTTTGCAGAGGACCAGTGTCCCCTGGTCCCACCCATGGGATGATCCCACAGGACGGGAGTATGACAAGGAGGGCAACCTGCGGCCGTGGTGGCAGAACTCCTCCCTGGAGGCCTTCAAGAACCGGACGGCATGCATAACAGAGCAGTACAGCCACTACACTGTTCACCGTGAGAAGGTCAATGGCCGGCAGACGCTGGGCGAGAACATCGCTGACAACGGCGGGCTCAAGGCAGCCTACAACGTGAGTGTCACTGTCCTGAGAGGATGCAGACCCCTGTGTCTTGTGTCTGTCAGTCCCTCCATGAGGCTTCAGGGCGTCTCTCCCATAGGCGTACAAATCCTGGCTGCAGAAGAACGGGGAGGAGAAGCGCCTGCCAGCCCTGGAGCTCACCAACCATCAGCTCTTCTTTGTGGGCTTTGCACAGGTAGGGCAGAGCCAGATGGTGGGTTCCTTATCCTTCCCCTGCTCCTCAGAGACCCCCGCAGCGCCCCATCAATCCTGCCCCTCCCTGAAGCTGCTCCTGCTCCATTAGGTGTGGTGTTCCGTCCGAACACCCGAGAGCTCCCACGAAGGGCTGGTGACAGACCCCCACAGCCCGGACAAGTACCGCGTCATCGGCACCCTCAGCAACTCCAGGGACTTTGTCGAACATTTCGGCTGCCCCCTGGGCTCCCCCATGAACCCCGGCAAGCACTGTGAGGTGTGGTAGGGACGGGGAGGGTGCTGGGGACAGAGGGGACGATGCTCTGCTGTGTGCCCCCCCACGCCCTCGCCGGCTGCCGGCGGTGGCCCACAGGCAGAGCGCGGGGCCACTCCCCGAATCACCCTCCATCGTGGTCCCCACCGTGCACACACCGCGCGCCTCTTCGCCCCATCTCTGCCCCTCTCCCCAGCACATACCGGGCACCCACCGCAGCCCCATCCACAGCCTGGAGCCGGACATGGCCGGCAGAGAAGCCGTAGCGCCCCCAAAACGCAGCTCTGCCCCCAACCCTGATGTGCTACAGACGGGCACAGCGCAGCCCCCCCAGGGCCACGTTCACCCCGTGCGGGCAGGCAGAGGGGTCCCAGGGAAAGCATTAGAGCTGAGTCCCCCCGACCTGCCGGAGATGGAGGCTGGGGGCCACCCGACTCCGCTCTTCCTCCATCCCCTCCCGATCCGGCTTGGCTTCCCCATCCACCTCTGCTGGGATCAGCGGGCGACAGCGGGGACTCTGGTGCCTTCCGCTGTGGGTGGCTGTTGCTGAGTTTGTTTGACGATTAAAAGCAGTTTCCACTTACTCTGGCGGCTGCGCGTCCTTCGCGGTGCCGGTGCGGGAGGAGAAGTGGGCTCTGGAGCAGGGGGACGACTCAAAAGCCGGGGGCGAGAGGGAGATGAAACATCCCGAGGGAGGGGAGCGGGAGATGAGGCATCCGAGGGACCAAGGGATGGGAGCAGGGGATGAACTGTCTTGAGGGGCAGAGGGAGGGGCGCAGGTGTGCGAAGAAGGAGGCAGTAGCCGCAGAGCTGACCCTCAGCCCTGCCCCAAGACGGCTGCGGGTCCCCGAGGGCAGGGCAGGAGCCGGGCTGGAACAGCCCCGTTGGGAAGGGAACGCCGGTGTAAAGAGCAGCCACGGGGACCCATTGCCCCGAGGCGGGGGGGGGCACGGGTGACATCCTGCTCTGGGCCCCGCCCCTGCACAGGGGTCCCTCCGTGTGCCCTGGGACCCCACAAACCCGCGGGGAGCAAGGCCACAGGGGTTCGCAAAGGCCGCCAGGAGTTGTAGTCCTGCGCACAGCCCGACGGGAGCTGTAGTTCGGCGCGAGGGGCGCTGGGAGTTGTAGTTTCAAGCGCTGGCAGCTCCGCTGCCGGGCCCCGGGGACCGCACTGCATTTCCCAGCAGGCAGCGCGGCGGGGCCAGGGTCCGGGCCTGGGCGCCTCGGGGGCCAGCGGTGCCAGGCCGGCGTGAGCGGCTGCGGCGGGGCTGGGCGGGGGGTCTGGGACCGGGCCGGGTGCTGGGCCGGAACTGGGGGTGTCGGACCTGGGTGGCACCCTGGGTGCAGGGCCTGGGCTGGGTCACGGGGGCTGGGCCCCGGCCCGACCCTGGGTGCAGGGCAAAAGGGGCGCTTCTGGAACCCGACTGGGCGAAGTGTTCTACGTCGGGCCGGGGCTGCCGAGCTCCTGTGGGTGCTGGAGCTGAATTACCTCCAGCTGGGGCCAGGGACAGGCTTGGCCCTAGGGCAGCAGCGTCCTGGGGACGGGGGCGGTGGGACGTCCCTGCTGTGGGGACAGGGACGCTGGGACATCTCTGCCCCTGTGCCTTGCCCTGCCCCTGTGCCTTGCCCTGCCCTCCAGCCAACACGCTCACCTTGCAGGCGTGCTGCCCGAGCCTGGCACCATGGACGCACCACTCATTACACCCGGGGAGCTGCTATGTCTGGGCTCCAGCCTTGCCTTCTCCGGCCTCTTCTACTACCTCTACAGGAAGAAAACCAGAGTTGTGGCACGCATACAGGTAGCCCTGTCCCTCAGATGCTCTCAACCCCCACTGTCCCTTCCCTCCTGCCCAGAGCCTTTGATTTGGGCACACCTCACTGATAACTGCAGCCTGCTGCATCTTCTGTTGATGTCACCATGCCTAGGACCAAGCAGGTTGTCCTGCCAGAGATCCCCACAAAGCCATATGTGACCCACCTGCCAACCCATCTGCCCCTGCCCAGGTTCACTCTCAGTCTCTGCTCTTTTAGGAGGCTCCAAAGCTCCAGGTTGATGATGATTTACCATCATTGGTGTCTGCGGCTGATGGGAGGTGCCTGCCTTATGTTGCTCTGGAAGGTAAGGAGACCCCGTGGCCCCACACTGGGGACAGAAGCTGGGCTCTCCTTTAACCTTAATGCATTCCACGGTCCTTAGGCATAGTGCTGCCAGCCAAGGCTGCGCTGACGAGCCATTACCATGAGAGGCTGCAGGGTGTGATCCAGAAGCTGCTTCTGAAAGAGCATCGGCTGGTCTGGAACAGCTTGGCCCGGAGCTGGTGAGCAATGGGAGGGGACAGCAGGGGGGCAGGCTTGTATTGGTTGCCCCAAACCCCCATACTCTGGGGCCACTGGCAAGGCAGAAATTGGCTTGGTTAAAGGCTCTAGTCCCTACCCTTGGCTCTGCCCCCGGAGTCCAGAGTTCCTCCATATTGTCCACATCCCCATGCTGTGCTCTCCGCTTGCAGGAGCGAGAGTGAGCGGGTGCTCTCAGAGCAGGTCTACACTGTCCCCTTCTTGCTGGCCTCACCGGACACTGAGGTAGTGACACAGGTGAGCGTGGAGAGCCCACTCCGAGCCATCTGCCTGCCACTGGAGGTGGTGTACGAGAGGTTCCAGCAGCCGGCCCACGGCTTCCGTGACCTGCTGGGGCAGTACTTGAGTGGGGAGAAGCCCAAGGGCATCCTGGAGACGGAGGAACTGCTGCGTGTGGGAGCTGGGCTGACGGGCATCGGGGAGCTGGCCCTGCACCCAGACGGCTCCCTGCACCTCCAGCCACCATCCCAGGGGGGCGACTATTTCCTGTGCCTGGGGGACTGGCAGACAGTGGTGGAGGAGCTGGAGTCTGCCAGTGGGCTCTGGAAGGGGGTGGCCATGCTGTGTGCCACGGCGGGCCTGGCCATTCTGCTGCACGCCCTGTGCCGTGCCTTCCGCCGCGCCCGCCTCAGGCAGCAGCGTGAGGACAAGGAGCTGGACAGCGAGGAGGCCGGGGATGGGGGGCTCGAGGACTCCTGTGTCATCTGCCTGTCGCGACCCCGTGAGTGCATCCTCTTGGGCTGTGGCCACATCTGCTGCTGCTTCCGCTGCTTCCAGGCCTTGCCTGCCCGCCTCTGCCCCATCTGCCGGGGGCCCATTGACCGCGTGGTGCCCCTCTACCAGGCCTGAGAACATTTAGGGGGCAGCCAGAGATTGTTAACACAAAGCGAAGCAAGCTTGGGGCCTGCAGTAATCTCAGCTGTCCCCTGGTGTGCAGTTGTGTGATTCCTGTTGGGGGAGAGGGGTCCTGGTGTGCCGCCCCCTGTCTTTTGGGGAGGGTGGGGAGTTATAGCCTCCTCATGCTCCCTTTTTGTGCCAGAAGCCCCTGCCCCCCCGCAACATGAAGGCTTGGGGAGAGCATGCTTGGTGCCTGAGCTGAAGAGCCAAGTCCCCTGCCCCACGCCAGGATGCCTTTTTTCCAGCCCTGACCCCTCCAAAACCATGTGGGACTTTTGTTTTTCTAGTGTGTGGCTTTATGAGGAGCATGGCAGGGGCAAGACCAGGGCTGGTGAGACACAGTGGGGTGACAGAGACCCAATTTCCCCTGAGTCACCGCAGTGGTACACTTTAGTGCCACCGTTGTGCTCCCTGCCCCATGTGCCTACAGCCTCTGCCCAGACCATGCCCAGCACCCAGGGACTGGCAGCAATGAAGTGTGTCCCTTCACCATCTGCAGTGCCACCCAGGGAGGAAGAGTGTCCCTCTGCCATCTCTGCAGAGTCCCCACTCCTCTGGAGCAGGGGCACAGCCATAGGGCACTCCAGAGCCTGCCCTCTGGGCCCTTCTGCACCCCGCTTTCCTGTTTGCCTCCTGGCTGGGACTGAGTGCAGGCACAGCTTGTGGTGGTGTGTGGAGTGATAAAAGACCAGGAGTGGAGCTTGGCCTCGCCTCTTCCTTTGCACCGTCAAGTCGGGGGACTGGAGGGATGTGGCAAGAGCCAAGGCTCTCCTTGGCGGGGGGGAAGGAATGGAGAGGGGACAAGTCAGTGCCATCACCGCCATCCTCCAGCCTCAGCACACTCACCAGTGGTGGGCAGGGGACCCCCAGCTGGACTGCATCACCTCGCGATACAGCCCCAGAGGTGGGGGAAAAGCGGGACTGTTGCCAAGGCGATCATGCTCCTCTGGTCTCCATGGCAACTGCTCCCTGGACTGCTCCCCATCACTGCCTGGCTGCAGTTGCCCAGGCAACCCACGGGCTCTCCTGGCTCCTGCGGCTTTGGGGCACCCAGGATTTATTTGGGTGGGGTGGGGAGAGGGGAACAGGCCAGCACTGGCAGCCAGACAGCAGTGTTGGCATAAGAGGGGATGATGCCCCTTCCCATGGCAGGGGCCCCCATTGCTGCCAGTTTGGGGCAGGGACCATGCTTGGTGCAGAGGTGCCCCTGTGGTGTTGCCCCTATAGCTTGCAGTCAGCAATGATGCCCCGGAAGACCCAGCAAAACCTCCTGGGACCCATGTGCATTTTTGGGGTAGGGGTGTCTGTGTGGCTCCCTTCCTCCACCCCACCCAGTGTCTCAGCTCAACTTCTTCCCCATGCCAGCATGGTGAGTGCCACACTGCAAAGTGAGCAGTGGGGCCTGGGTGTTCCCCCCGCTCCAGAACCGGGCACCCCCCCGCAGCAAGGAGAGATTTCGGGAAGGAGGTAAATACCAGATGGGCGAGGGCCGGGCTGCCAGGAACACACTCCTAGTGTGCCAAGAGCTGCTGGCGTGCGTGGGCCGGGGAGGGCGGCGGGTGCCCGTGCTCCAGAGACTGCTCACCTCGTTCCCCGGGGCACTGCAACCACCCGGGGACAGGGACACCCAGAGAGGGACCCGCAGCCACTCGCTGCCCTCTGTCCACAGGGGGGCCACAGTTGCCCAGGGAACACATCCCTGCGCACACGGAGGGTACCACCCCACGCTGGGCACAGCCCTACCCCACACCCCTCGGGGGGCCCTACCACCCCGGGGGAGCCACCAGCCCCGCGGTGGCCTGGACCTGGCTGAGGAGCCCTGCCTGGCGCGGAGCCGGGCGGCAGCGTGACTCAACCGCTCAGCTCAGCAACAGCCAAAGACTGGCCGTGCCAAACCGCCCGGCAGAGGGGCTGTCCGGCCTTGCCGCAGCCCGCACCGCCGCCGAGCCTGCTGTCCATCGTCCCTCAGGGTCTTCTGGTCTGGAGCAGGGAGCTCGCAGTCCTGCACTGAGCCCTGCCTAGCCTCCGTCCCCACCATGCAGGGCCCAAGAGGGACCCCCGCACCCTGCAGGGTACCCGTGGGTGCCAGCCCATGGCCATGTCCCCATCCACACCCACAGGGCTGCCAGCCCACTCCGGCCTGTCTCTCTGTCTGTCGTCATGGTGACCGTGATGTGGTGACAGACGAGGATGGAGCCTCACGCCCCAGCAGGGCTGGTTGGGTCTGGGCAGGGAACCCTCTACAAAGTCTCTGCCCCAGGCAGAGTGCTGAGAGTGCTCCACCTGCTCAGGTGCAGCCCTGGCACCACCGGGACCGCAGCTGTGCCCGGGGCAGCTTGTGTGAGGGATGGGGACAGTGACATCCCCCTTCCATCTGCCCCGACTCCGCAATTGGATTCCCCTCGGGAGCCCCGCCTTCCCAAAGCCAGCCTGCGCACCAAGGCAGACAAACTCATCTCACTAGTGACAACCTGCTGGCTGGCTGCCCTGCAAAGGCTCTAGCCCTTCTCCCTGGGAAAGGATGGCACTGGCCTTCCAAAGGAGGGCTTTTTAGCCTCATCTTCCCACATCACCAGCTATGGGAAGGGACAGCCCAGGGCGAGGAGCACACCGCTCTTGCATGCTTGCCCTGGGCTGACCCACAGCTACTGAGCAGGATGCCTGTCCCTTGTGCCCCACCACCTCCTCACTATGTTGACTAGGGCCACCACAACCATCAGCAAGCTTGGCCATCCACACCACCTGCACCCATCTGGGCTTTGGCTACTGAGAGCCAGCAGCAGCAGCCAAGGATGGACACAGCCCTGCCCTTGCCGATGACCTTTGCCAGTGTCCCACACCAGGCTGGGGATGGGTGCTCTGCGAGCACAGCAGTGCTGGCAGTGGTGAGCTGGCACTTTGCAAGGCCCCTGGACCATGGCTGCCACTGCTGTGGAGCAGAAGTGCCATTTCACGTTTCTTGGCAGGGCTGGAAGCAGCACCAGATGGAGGCACCCGAGCCGGCCTCCAGGCACGCCTCTGCAGCCACCAGCCCGGAGGCATTAGAAGTGATGGCACTGGTGAGCTCCCAGACCTGTAGCAGAGAAAGCCCCAGGTCTGGTAGCCTATGCCTCCTACCTCATCTAAGCCCTCTGTGGTCCAGCTGCTGCCTGCCAGGTCACTTGGTTCCATTCCTGCCAGGCCTCAGGGACCACTCATCGCTCCCATTCAGTCCAGCTCCAGCTGCCTGGGGGTCCCTGCAGAGCCAGGGCAGAACATGCCCCACCACACATTTCTCCATTCTAAAACCACCTGAAGCACCAGTGACTGTAGGGAAACCCCTCACCTCCATCACAGCACCCAGAGCTGTCACCCAAATCCCCACCAATGGTGCAGGGCTCAGGAGCAGCATCCAGCCATGGGGCTGTGTCACAGCAGGCACCAGTGGGCTCCCAGAGCATCACCTCAGGTCAGGCAATGTAGCACCATCTCTGTCACCAGCCCTACTGTGGCTGGGAGCCTGGCTGCTTGCCCACTGCCTGGCCCTGTACCCACCACACTGGTCATGGCCAGCCCCCAGCCCTTGCATCACCTCAAGGTGTTCCAGCTCCTGGGCTGTGGCCCAGCTTTAAGAAGCCAGGGCAGGAAGAACCACCAGCTTCCCACTCCCACAGCCACAGCCGCTGGAGCTGGCTTTGTGTTGGACAAAAGTCTGCAAAGGAAGCGAGAAAGGAGATTAAGTGGCTGCTAAAAGGCAGATAATGAAGGTGGGATGAGAGCCAGGGGAAGCAGAGGCTTGGTCTGGCTCACCATGAGGGGCAAGGGTAGGGTCCCTCCTGCACTCCCACCACATCCAGGTCCCTGGTGCCTTTCCCCCTCCCAGGGGTGACCAGCAGCATCCATGGGGAGACAGCGACTGAAGATGTCCCCAGAAGATGCGGTGCCTGGAGGCATAATGCTGCCCAGTCCCACTACATCCCAGCTGTGCTGGCATGAATCCAACCCTCCTCCTGGGTGGAGGTCCCTCCCACCCACCCCCCCAAGCCCCAGCAAGCCCCACAGAGCTCCCCTAGTCCCATAGCCAAGCCAAGGAGCTCCCAGGGGGCAAGGCACTATGCAGGCACAGGTGTGATGGAAGCGGGGCCGTTCCCAGGGTCACCTCTCTCAAGCCTTTCCCAGGAGCCTGCCAGGCTGGAAGCCCTCCCAGTGTGCAGCACCAGCCCTGCTCGCATCCCACACAGCCCATCTGCTCCCGTTCCCGCTCATCCCCAGCCCCGCGCGTGCCACGGCTTGCCTGTCCCTGCCCACAGCAGCAGCACGTGGGCCTGGCAGTGGGGAAAGCAGGGCACATCTCAGCGTGGGCCTCTTGCCTATTTTCCCAGGCGCTTTTTGCGGGAGCAGAAGCCGTTACATGAAAAAGTTCAAGCTGGTTCCCCAGCAAAGGCAGGAATAAAGGCGCTCACTGCCTTGCCAGGAGAACAGGCACTGCTGCCCCATCCCTCCCCGTCTCTGCTTTGGGAGGGGATGGTGGGGAGCAGCATTCTGGGTACAAAGGGAAACACATGGCTGAGCTTTCCCAAAATAGATGTACCTGCCCTTTTGCATGGACCAGCCCTGCTGATGCTCTTCTGCAGCATGTTTCAACAGGATCTCAGGCCACGGAAGAGATGGACCACAGGGCTGTCTGTAAAAATCCCACTCTTGCCCCATTGAAACACCCAGAGGCGGATCCTCGTGGGGCTGGTACTTGCCATTCCCACACAAGGCTCTGGCTTTGCCACCACCCAGCACACCCAAGTGAGCAGGGGGGCTGGGATGCGAGGGAGCATCAGGAACAGAGCTACCCCATGACAGAATGGCTGTCTCCAACCAGCCACTGCCACTACTCCAAGTCCAGGGACCAGCCAGATCCAGACACCAGAGCTGCACCCACAGCTCAGACAGTAAGCAGCAGCCCCAGCCTAAGCTTAAATAGCCCCCTAGCCTCAGGTGACCCTGATGGGGGATACCAGGTGGGGCTGCTCAGGGGTACCAATAGCAATTAGTGTAACCACTGTCCTGGCAGCAGAAAATGCAGGCAGAAAGGGCCAGTGTGGATCTGGGGTAGGGATGTGCAAAGGGGACACAAATAGGGCTTTGAGGGGACACTGAAGCTACTTGTGCGGCTCTCTCCTTGCTAACCCATGGCAAGTCCCCCATGGGGGATGACCCTTCCCCCTGTCCACGGAGAACCCCCAGGGAAGGGGCAACCCATGGAGCAAGGGGCATCCCAGGGCATGGTCCCCATTTGTGTCACAATCAACAGCACCTGCAGAATCACACCCGTGTGCCCTGCAGTCCTGCAAGCACATGCAAAGGGCACGTGTACAAACATGCACATGCATGTGCAGGGGCCTATATGTGGGGGCCAAGGGGACTGGAAAGGGCTGGAGCTGGTGCAGCTCCAAGGAAGGGTCCCAAAATTGGAAAGTCTGTGAGAGGGAATGCTGGCTGGGGCAACAGGCACCAGTGGGGACAACCTGGCTGGGGAGACCCGGGGTAGGAGCTGGCCCGGAGGTTCTGGGCGGCTTGAGCCTGCTGGGCTGCTGGAGGAGGGCTGGGGGTAAAAGGACCGGAGTATGGTGCTGGGGGGTCTGTTTGACATCACCTCGGTGTGCTCGGGTAGGGCCTGGCTGTGCTTGGTGGTCCCCAGCCTGTCTGACCTGGCTGTGCCAAGGGATCCCCGCTCCACAGGGGCACCCCGCGGTCAGGGGCACCCCCGGGTTGGGGCGACTGCCGCGGCAAGGCTGTGCCGGAGGGACCGTCCTGCGCTGGGCACGGGGCAGGGGCTGCGGACAGGGCGGGAAGGGGTGTCCTCATCCCGACCGCGCGAGCACCGGGCACCAGCCGCGGGGGTCCCCGTCCCTGTCCGGCCGGGCCGGACCGCGGCGCTCCGGAGCCGCCCCCCGCCGGGGGGGTCCCCGCTCCCCCCGGATGCATGACTTCATCCTTCCGCCCGGGTTTCCTCCCCGCCGCCGCTGCCGCCGCCGCAGACCGGCTCCCGGCTCGGCGCGGCGCGGCTCGGCCCGCTCGGCCCCGCCATGTCGCAGGTGCTGCCCTACGGCGAGGACAAGGTGGGCCGCTACGGCGCCGAGCCCGAGGCGGGGGAGCTGCCCTTCAGCTGCCGCCTGCAGGACACCAACGCCTTCTTCGGGGGCAACCAGGGCAAGCGGCCCCCCAAGCTGGGACAGATCGGCCGCGCCAAGAGAGGTACCGCCCGACCCCCCGCCTCTGCCCCCCACCGACCCCCGCCTCAGCCCCCACGGTAGCCCAGAGCTGCCCCACGGCATCCCCGGGACCCCCCGCGTCTACCCTGCAGCATCTCTGGCACCTCTGACGCTGGCTCTTGCATCTCCAGCCCTGCCCCACAGCATCCCTGCTACTCCCGGATCTGTCCTTGCATCCTCGGCTCTGCCCCGGGACCCCCGGATCTGTACTGTAGCATCCCCGGCGCTGCTCCCCGGCATCCCTGGCACTGGCCTTTGCACCCCCAGCGCCGCCCCAGAGTAGCCCCGGGACCCCCGATTCTGCCCTCGCATCCCCGGCATCCCCAGCACTGTTCAGTGCATCCTTGTCACCCCCGGCATTGCCCCACAGCATCCCCGGGAGACCCGATTCTGCCCTTGTGTTCCCGGCTTTGCCCCACGGCATCCCCCGGATCTGCTCTGCAGCATCCTCGGCACTGCCCCACGGCATTTCCAGTACTAACGGTGCTGACTCTTACATCCCCGGCGCTGGCTCTTACATCGCCAGCACTGCCCCACAGCATTCCTGGGACTCCCAGCTCTGCCTTGCATCGCCAGCACTGTCCCCTGGGTACCTCTGACACTGCCCCACAGGATTCCTGGCACTACCCCCCAGTATCCCCAGCACTGCTCCGGCATCCCAGAATCTCCAGCTCTGCCCCACATCATCCCTGGCATTGTCCCCCAGGAACCCTGGGACCCCCAGCTCTGCAAATGGCACCCGGCATCACCCCAAAACCTCAGCAGCCCCTTTTCCCAGCTTAAGACAGTAGTGCTGTCCCCCCCATTCTGTCTCACACCCCTGGCAGACTGGGGCTCCCCCCAGGACTACCCTGCAGCATCCCTGGGGCTGCCCCTGGGGCTGTCCCCAAGCATCCCTGGGGCTGCCCCCCAGCACTTCTGCGAATGCCCCCGGGACCCCCTGGTACTGCTCCTCATCATCCCTGGGATTGTCCCTGCATCCCCCCGGACTGTTCCACACACCCCCCCCCCTTCCCTATAAACAAACACCCCCACATCACCAGAACTGCCCCTCCAGCTCCATCACCCTCTCTCCCTCCACATTTCCGCCTGCCGCAGAGACCCCCACCAGCAGCTGCCGGCGGTGCTGATCAACAAACAACCCCCCCCCCCCCCCCGGCTTTACTGTCGCCCCAGGACTCCATGAGCCTGTGTGTGTCCTGCTCTTCCCCCCCTCCACCTGCTTTACTCCCTGCCGCAGAGACCCCCTTCAGCAGCTCCTCTGCTCCTATTAGAACCCAAATAAATGGCCCCACTTCCCCTGCACCATGATCTGCCACCATTGATCCTCCCTGATGCCTTACAGACCCCAAGAATGGCCCCCACATTCCCTGCAGCCCCCACTCCACCTGCCTGGGGGGACATCTATAGGCAAACACCCCCCTTTGAGCTGCAGGGGCAAAAGGGGAGGGCACCAGAGCTCCCCCCCCAGCATAAATATACCTCAGCCCTGTGTGAGGGGAGCCACTGCCTGCTCCACCTGCCCCCCTTTGGGATGGTGGTTCTGGGTCTAGCAACCCCCCCGGGGTGATGGGGGAACAGATCTCCCTTCCTGGTGATGGAGGGCTATGGCTGTTCCCCAGTGATGCTGGTGTTGGGGAGGGGGGGTGTCTGGCCAATTCACCCCCAGGGTGGTGATGGGGAGGGTTGCTGACCACCCTGGTAATGATGGGGGAGGTTCTGTTCTCCACTCCCAAGGGTGATGGTGCTGTGGGAGATCTGCCCAACCAGTGATGTTGATCTAGGGGGAGAGGGGGTGTCTGTGTAGCCCCTTGACAGTGATGCTGATGGGGGTCTGTCCAGCCTCCCACTGGTGATGTTGGTGGAAGGGGGTGGATGGCCCAGCGAGTGATACTGAGGGGGGTCTGTCTGGAGGGTGATTCTGACAGGGGGCTGTCCAGCCCCTCATGGTGATAGCAATGTTGGGGGTCCGTGCAGGCTGCCATGCTGATGAGGGTTGGAGTCCTGCCTGGCTCCCCCAGCAGTGATGCCGATGGGGGGGGGGGGGGGGGGCTGTCCTGTGTAGTGGGTGATGCTGGCAGGGGTCTGGCTGCTCCCCTCGCCGATCTAGCGGTGCCCCCCCCCCGCTGGGTCATTACCCATTCCAGTCCTGTTGCTCTCATCAGCGCCTGCCGCAGAGAGGGGGGGGGGTCCTTCCTGGTCTGTTCCTGCTCCCCCTTCCCAAACCGCTCATCCAGAGGCGGCCGCCTGGCTGCGGGGGGGGGGGGGGTGTGCTGCCCTATCCAAACCTGGCAGGAGAAGGGGGTCACTCTCCCCATGCCCACTGCACCCACCTGAACCCCTTGGCCCTGCTCACCAACATCTGCGGGCGCATCTGGAGCCCTCCTGGGGGGGGCGAGCGGGGCGAGAGCCGGGGTATGGGGCAGGAGCCGGGTCCGCTTCCCCTCGCCCACGAGCCCCCCGCCTGTCCCCGCAGTGGTGATCGAGGATGACCGGATAGACGAGGTGCTCAAGGGCATGACGGAGAAGTCGCCGCCGGGGGTGTAAGCCGGGACCCGCCGCCAGGACCCGCCGGCCGTGCCCCGCTCCCAGCCCGCCCGGCCCCGCATGCTGGCTGCACCGCCGACGAGGAGGGGGAGGCCGAGCCAGTGCCCCCCCTCCCCCGGCCCGGGAGAGGGGCTCTGCGGCCGACACCACCCCCCCCCGGCCATGCACTTTACCCCTCCCCCGGGAGAGGGACGACCCGCCGAGCCCCCCGCCCTGGGCAAAGACATCCCCCCCCTCTCCCCGGGGGTGTGGGGGTTCCAGCCTCCCGCTCCGCGGCGCGGCCCCCCCACCCCGGGGCGGACCCGGCCCCGGCCCCACGAGCGGAGGGGGGAGCGCTGCTGTCCAGAGACATTTTTTGCTCCATCGTTTTTTGCATGAGCTTGGTGGCCCGGGCTCCCGGTGCAGGGGCCGAGGGTCAGCCCCACCACTCCGGCACGCTTCTTTTTAAACAGAAACTCCTCATATTTGTATTTTTATATCCGAATATTTGTTAAAAACGATCTGCTGACGTTGAGATGTCGAAGCAACCGCACCGAGAAAACAAACACGCAAACGAGAAAAAAAAAACACAAAAAAAAAAGGTTCATATTTTTTTCCATAAGAAAAAAAAAGACAAAAAAAGAAGAAAAAACCGAGGGGAGGGGGGAAATGAAGGGGGCGAGAGCGATGGAGGGAGCATGAGGAAAGCCAAAGGTGTGGGGGGGAGCACGGGGACCCCCGGTCTGAGCCCCAGCAGTGGGACAGCACCACCGGCCGCCGCAGTGCCCTCCCGGAGCACCGGGCAGAGCCCACCGGGGCAGCGGCAGGCACCGGCCCCTCGTCGAGTGCGAGGGTAGCAGGGGGCAGGGACCGGCCCGAGTCGTTGTTTTTAATTTTGTACTTTAATTTAATTTTATTTTTCAAGAGGCTTCTCGGGGGTCTGATGTGCATGAGGAACTCGCCATCTTTTTCAATAACCTGCGAGTGGCATTTATGGAGACTACGACGCAAAAAAGAAAACCAACCCCACAACATGGCGAAAAAATCCCAAACAAAAACCAAAACCGAGAAAAAAACATGAAAAAAAGAAAAAAAAAAAAAAAGATACTTGTGTCATGATGTTCTACGAATGATCCATTGTAAATTTAAATGCCATTTTTCACTGTACTGGTGAACAAAATGCAATGAATAAAATACATTCATGTACCGAGGCGAGGCCAGCAGCGCCTGCTCCTTCCCGTTGCTGCCATGTGCCAACATGTTTCCAGGGTGCTGGTGGGATGGGGTGGCATGGCGGGGTGGGGGCTGAGCCTGGAGTTCTTCCCCAGCTCCCGGTGCGGAGGGAGCCACCGCTTGACCCACTTATGCCTTTTGCCAGGAATAGCAGCCCGGCAGCTTTGCATCTTTGGTGTCATCACTGTCCCCCCAAGGACGGGTCCCCTCTGCACCCCACCATCAGTGTCACCAACCTCGAGGGGGTTTGGTGCCCAAGTGGGGACACCCATGATGCCACTTGCCATGGCAGCACCTACATGCAGCCAGCCCCACCAGCATGCGGTGGCATGGCTGTCACCAGCCCCAGCACACGCGTGTCACTGTGCTGCTAGCCCCAGGCACGGGCAGACACAGACCAGGCGTGTGGCACACCAGTGCTGTCACTGCATCCAGGAGTGGGAATTGAGGGGGTACACAGGCATATATGGCACAACCCATCCCAGACCCCCTGCCACCCGGCTGGGGGTGACAAGGGCATGGTGTCCTTGCACAGCCCCATGGCCAGGGAGGCTGGTCCAGGGGTCCTGGTGCAGGACAGTGGGCACCCTGCAGCCCAGCTGCCCCCACTGGAGTGGGTGGGACACAGGGAGCTGCTCTTTGCAAGATGGATGGGTGGAATTAAACCCGATTTGGTTTCATTACTGCCCGCAAAGCCCAGAGCCCTGGCTGCTCTCCAGCTGGGCGAGGGAAGGGCTGGGAGGGAGCACAGCATCACCCCCTCCCTGGAGCATCCTGCTGCTCCCAGGAGGGGGCCAAGCTCCCCCCCTTCTCCCCATTGCTCACATCACTGGGCAGCTTGTGGGGTGGGGAGGGAGCACTGGTCCCCTGTCCCCCACCCATGAAGGCAGAGCAGCTTAAGGCTTTATTGTGTGTGGGGAGGCCAGGAAAGCCCCTGGGTCACAGCTCGATGGCGAGGAGGTAGTCCTCATCATCTGGGGGGGCAGGGGGTGGCGGTGGGTCGGGAGGTGGGGGGGGCTGGTGCAGATGGCGCCCCAGGGCCAGGTCGGGGGGGGCCAGGGGCTGCCCCTTGCGCATGATGTAGAGGAAGAAGTGGAAGGTGCCGGCATCCCCGTCCCCGCAGGTGACATGGCGCAGGGACCAGCCGAAGGCCTCCTGGGCATAGTGGGGCTTGCGGAAGTGGGGCTGTGCGAAGGTGATGGAGATGAAGCAGCCCCCTGGGCGCAGCACCCGGCTCACCTGCAGTGGTAGAATCCCCAGGATGGGGTGGGGGACACAGTGAGGTTCACCCCCCTTGCACAGACAGCCCTGTCCCCAGGGACCCACATCACCATCTGCCAAAGATCCCCCCCCAGCCTTTCCCATCACACCCCCAGATCTCCTGTCTTAACCTTCATCCCCCCCAGAGACACCCAGCCTGGTTCTGGCGTGTCCCCAGACCCCCCGCAGCCCAGTGGTAATGAGGAATGAGGGTCCCCATGCACCATCTCTCACTGCATCCCAAAACTCTTCACCCCTATGCACAGCAGACTGCAGAGACCCAACCCTGGTGTGGAGAAAAGCTTCACCCTCCCAGGCACAGGACCCTCCCAGAGCAGCACGGGACCCCCATCCCATCCACCCCTCCTCAGGGTACCCAGTGCCACCCCCCACCAACACCCAGCATCCAAGGTGGGAGGGAGAAGGTTTGGACAGGAAAGGACTCGACCCTTTTAATCACCATTTTCTCCCTGCTGGAATTAAGCCCCTGCTAACAGGATGGAAAAGAACATCAATTTTCTTGCTTGGCTTTATCCAATGTCAAAAGGCTTTTACGGCCAGTGCTCGCGTGCTCGGCATGCAAAAGCAGTGCCTGGGGCAGGCCGGTGGCCAGCCCCACGTCCACCCCCCTCCCCACGTCCACCCCCCGGCATTCTCCCCCAGGCAGGGACAGCCCCAGGTTCCCCCCAACAAGGGCAAAGAGCCACTGCAGCAAGGGAGAGGGCTGGGGGCCAAGCGGGGTTCCCAAGCTCTGGTTTAATCCTGCTGGGAAGCTCCACAGCTCAGTGGTGGCTGGGCCAGGAACGGACACAGGGGACAGCCAGCCTCTGTGTGTGTCCCTCCCCCACTTGCTGCGGCAGTGGCTTTCAAACCAAACCTTACTGGGTTTGGTCAGGAAAAGGAAAGCATGTCCCTGCACTCCCACCCCCAGAACCCAGCTCAGCATCCCTCCTGCAAAGCCCCGGATGCATGGGGGTCCCTAGGGCTGGGGGCAGGCAGGGATCTCCAGCTGGAGCTGAGCAAGGCATCTTGCATCCCATCCTCATTAATAGAGCACTAATGGCCGTTGCTTACAGATGGGTGCAGGAAACCTTGCTACCCAACAGCCAGCGCAGGGGGGCTGCTTCCCCCTCTGACATCCCCCCACAGCTCCCTGATGGCTGGGACAGGGGTGTCCCTGAGGCACCCCCGCAGGCAGGGTGGATTTTTGCATCCCTATCACCCATGTATCCTGTGCATTTTGGGACCCTGCCCATCCCCACCCTTCCCAGGGACAGCAAGACAGAGGCTATGAACCCCCTGCCATGAGAAGAGGGATGGGAGTGAAAAGGGGGGTGCCAGCCACTGCTGGACCCCTGCACAGGGCCTGGCAAAGTGGTGAGCAGGTGGGGACAGCCAGTGAATCCCCCTGGGAACAGGGACAGTAGGGACCAGCTGCGTTTGGAGGCCAGTGCCCAGTGATGCTGGGGGAGCACAGGGATTGAGCAGGGGATTAAAAAGAGAAACGGGGAAAAAAAACAGAACTAAATCCTTGCCATTTGGCCAAGTGACAAGGACAGGCAGCACTGTGGGCAGGCCAGGCATGGGTGGTGAGGACAGCCCCACTGCCCACAGGACTGGGGCTCTGCTCCCACCTGGGCTCAGAGGAGCAAGAGAGGATGGGGGGCAAATAGCCCCAAGCACCCCAGCACCCCTTGCTGCTGCCAGGGGTGCCATGGGGCGCAGTGGTCGTTCCTCCCCACAGTTACCCCCGCAGGGCAATGCAGGCTGCCATGGCCCGCACCCTGCACCAGGGTAGGTTCAATCCCCTCCCTGCCTCCCACACCGCCAATTAATCAGGGCCCAGAGGCATCACCCATCCCCGTGGCAACGCCAAGGCCATGTCGATGCTGACGGGGGTTGCCATGGCAACCCCGGACCAGATGAGTGCCGGAGACCCCACTAACGAGATGGAAGCTGGGTTGCGGAGGGGTGAGTGCCTGTCACAGCCCTGCAGTCCTCACCTCACCCTGGGCGGGCATGGCCACATCGGTGTGTCCCCCACGTCCCCTCCAGGCACCCTTGGGTGCCCCTATACCCACCCATGCGAGGATGGAGTCTGTTTTTTCTGCCACCCCTTCATGTTCAGGGTGCAAACAAACAAAGGGGTCACCCAGGTCCCCCCCAACCCAGCAGGACCTAGGGTCCCCAGGGACACACCTGGCTCTATCCACCTCCCAGGGGAGAAGGTGTGTGTGTGTGTGGGGGGTTTACCACCCCAAAGGGTGCTGGAAGCCCCCCAGGTGCCCCATTACAGGGCAGCAGAGGGGACAGCACCAGCTGGGGGGGTCAAGGCACTGGCTGGAGCATCCACAGGGAAGGAGGGTGTTGACATATTCTGTACCTTCACCCACCCAAAATGGGAATAGGTCCACCCTCTGTCCCCTCCCACAGCTCCCTTCACCTTGTACCTCTGCCAGGACCCGGTGCATTGTGGCGGTCGCCTGAGGCGAGACATTCCATGGGTCGGTCTCCTCCACCATAAGCACGTCGAGGGTGCCCTTCTCCAGCACCACGTCGAAGGTGGCGTCAGGGAAGGCAAGGGCACGGATGTCCATGACAGCCCAGTGCAGGCCAGGGCAGGAGGCGTAGCGGGCGCGCATGGCTGCGATGCAGGCAGGCGAGTAGTCGATGCTGGTGACGTCGGTGTAGCCCAGCTCGTACAGGTTGTGGCTCAGGGCACTGTTGCCGCAGCCTGCATGGGGCACTGCTCAGCCAGGGTGTGGGGTGCCCATGGAGGGGCTGCCAGCACCCCAACCCCATGCCCTTAGACCCAGAGAAGGGTGCAGGTGGGCTAGGGCAGCTAGAGAAGGAGCAGGTCATCACCTTGCCATTAATTAGCAAGTGCCAGGTTAGTTCCTAACTACCCTCTTCTTGCAAGGTGGGTGCACTGGGCTCCCAAGTGCTTCTCTCAGTGCCATGGGGCAGGAGATGACTGTGCCCCCCACCGAGCCTGCTGTGGGGCCGGCATCAGGGGCAAATTAGGGCAGCGTGCCACATATGGGGGGACTTAACTGGGATGGACAGACAGAAAGACGGAGGAACGGCTGTCCCAGGGGAACAGCATCCCACTCAGCTGGTACCAGCCCGGCCCTAGCAGGACACGGGTCCCCAGTGTGACAGGCACGGGGAGAGTCCCTCTGTCCTCCCTTCGCCTCGTCGGAGGAGCCGCTCCGCCGTGGCTCAGCGGCTCCGAGAGGGATCCCGGGGTGGGGGGGAGGGGAGATTTGGGGCCATTAATCGCAGCTGGCTGCGGCTGATCCGCTAACAGGATCGGTGATGACACCGCCTAATCCCGCCCGCCTGGGGCGGCTGAACCTGCCGGGCGGGCGGCGGATCAGCCCTGGATCATCCCGAAGGTGGGATTACGGGCTGGTCGTACCGGGCCCCGCAGCGCCGGGCGCTTCCCCAGTACCGGCCCGGCGCCGCAACGCCCCCTCGCGGTCGGCGCCAGCGCATGCGGCGGCGGCAGAACCCTGAGCTCTTCCCGCCCGGCCGGCACCGGGCACCGGGCACAGGGCACGTACCGAGCACGAGGATGCGGTCAGTGGGGCGCAGCTCAGGCCGCAGGTGCGGGAGGAAACGGGACAGCGCCCCCAGCCACTCGCGGGGCTCGGCGCCCTCCTGCCGGTACAGCTCGTCCCAGAAGCGGCGCTGCCGGTAGCGGCGGTTGGCGGCGGGCGCGTGCCGCCGCTCCATGCCGGGCGGCGGAGCGCCCCACGTGCGCCTTCCGGCCTCGGCGATTGCACCGCCCTAAGAGCTCCGGCCGGAAACGCGGAACGGAGCGGAACGGAGCGGCATCGGCCATGGCGGCGGGGCGGGGGGCGGCGGTGCTACGGCGGGCCTGGCGGCAGCGGCGAACGGCACTGCTGGAGCCCAGCTACACTCCGCTGGTGGCCGCCTGCCTCTGCTTGGCGGAGGGCGGCGTCAACCTATGGGTCATCCGCAGGGTCCCCTGTGAGTGCCGAAGCCAGGCCGGGCCCCGCGGGGGGGGGGGGGCGGTGTCGGAGCGGCCCCGGGGCACCGCGGGGTGTCAGCGTGACAGCAGCGTCCGGGCAGGGCGGCGGCGGGGCCGGGGACGCACGGGGGGGCACACGGAGCTTCGGCTGGGAGAGCGCAGCGGGGCAGGGCCGGGAGCCTGGCGGGGGGAGCCTCCCCGCCGTGTCCCCAGCGCCCCTCTCGCCTGAGCCCCGCCGTGCCCGCAGACACCGAGATCGACTGGAAGGCCTACATGGAGGAGGTGGAGGGGTTTGCCAACGGGACCCTCGACTACACCCGGCTGAAAGGCGACACCGGGCCGCTGGTGTAAGTGACGGGGGTGGCCGAGCTCCCCACACCGGGGTCCCAGGGGGGCAGCAGGGCCTGGCCCCTCACTCCCATCTCTCCACAGCTACCCCGCCGGCTTCGTCTACATCTTTCTGGGCCTGTACTATGCCACGGGCCGTGGCACTGACATCCGCCTGGCACAGTACCTCTTCGCCGGCCTCTACCTCCTCAATCTCCTCCTCGTCTTCCGTATCTACTGCCGCACCAACAAGGTAGCCTGGAGCTGGGGGGGCCTGTCCTGCTCTGCTGAGCCCTCACACAGGGCAGGAAGTCAGGGCTGGCTTTGGAGGTGTGGAGAGGCTTGGCAGCAGCCAGGGTTCTGGGACAGGCTGCTGATTGCCCTCGTAACTCTCTGTCCCCTGCAAGGTCCCCCCATATGTTTTCTTCTTCATGTGCTGCGCTTCCTACCGTATCCACTCCATCTTTGTCCTGCGGCTCTTTAACGACCCTGTGGCTGTGGCCATCCTCTTCCTCGCCATCAACCTTTTCCTGGAGGAGCGCTGGTCCTGGGGATGCTTCTTCTTCAGGTGAGGGTCTGGGCTCAGGTGGTGGCTGCCCTCCATGGCGTGCTGTGTGTGTGAACAAGCTCAGCACCAAGGAGGAGGATGCACTTGGTCCAGGGACTTCCTGGGCACCCATGGTGGGGACCACAGCAGTAATGCAGCTTCCCACTCAGCCTGGCTGTGTCCGTGAAGATGAACATCCTGCTTTTCGCACCAGGACTTCTCTTCCTCCTCCTCCAACAGTTTGGTCTCTGGGGCTGTATCCCCAAGCTCTGCATCTGTGCCCTACTCCAGGTGGGTCCCTGCTCGAGACATCACTGCAGGGGCAGGCTGGCAGCCCCATCAGCAAGGGGTAGAGGGCTCTCCTGCGTGCGTCACAACATCCTGTCTGGGTGTGCTGGGGGCTGGAGGCCTCTGGGTGGATATACAGTGGCACCAGCATCTCAGTCTGCCCCATGCAACAAACTGGAGCTTCACAACTAATTTAAATCATGGGGCTTCCATCTTTGGCTGGCTGTCCCTGTTGATGGGGTTCTCGGGAGGTGGAAAGGGTGATGGAGACCTGGCTTGCAGCTGCTGCGAGGTTGCTGGTGTATCTCTGTCAGGTGGTTCTGGGACTGCCCTTCCTGGTGGTGAACCCTGTGGGGTACCTGACTCGCTCCTTCGACCTGGGTCGTCAGTTCCAGTTCAAATGGACAGTAAACTGGCGCTTCCTCCCAGAAGAGGTTTTCCAGAATCGGGCTTTCCATGCCATGCTACTTGTGGTTCACCTGGCTGGCCTGGGGCTCTTTGCACTGCACCGGTGGCACAGGTGAGGCTCGGTATTCCCCATGGGTGCTGGTTCCCTCATGGAACCCCATTTCAGTCAGCCCGCATGGTGCAGGATATGGGTCCATGACTTCCCTGCCGCACATTGCTGCAGTTCTGGAGTTGCAGGCAGGAGTAGGGGCAAGTTACTGTTGTGTTTTGGGGAGCGCACTGCTCAGGCAGCGTGGCTTACAGGGGAAGGTTCGGGTGGGAAGAGATTTCAGCAGCTGTTGACATCAACGTTTATGCTTTCCCCTCAGGTCCAAAGAGAGCATCCTGGCTCTCCTGAAGGACCCCGCCGAACGGAAACACACATCCCCTCCCTTGACTGTCAACAATATCCTTTAGCAGGGTGGGCAGCAAGAAAGGGGGGGGGAAGACAAGGTGAACAGGTCCTGGTGCTGTTAGGACCGTCCTGTCCTGGGGGGAGGAGCTGTGCTGTACAGCTGGGAGCTGTTGCTGCATTGCACCTCCAGCCCCCTGCCTTTGTCCCCTTAACGCCAGTGCACAGATCGTCTTCGTCCTCTTCTCCTCCAACTTTCTGGGTGTTTGCTGCAGCCGCTCCTTGCACTACCAGTTCTACGTCTGGTATTTCCACACACTGCCCTACTTACTGTGGTGCACCCCTACTGCCAAGCTTGCCCACATGCCCAAGTACGTGCTGCCCAGAAGGGGGACCACTCACCTGCTGGTGGGGTCTGGGAGCAAGCAGGCTGCTGTGTCCCCCTGATGATGACCCACAGTTTCCCCCCCTGCAGGGTGCTGCTGCTGGGTGTCATCGAGCTCTGCTGGAACACCTATCCCTCCACAGTCTGCAGCTCCCTCTCCCTCCACATCTGCCACGTACTCGTCCTACTCCAGCTGTGGTACGGCACAGCCCCCTCGCCGGTGACACACACACCCCCACCAAGCAGGAGGCCCACAGCCATCTCCAAGAAGGTCCAGTGAGAGCAGAGCCAGCCGGAGGATGGGAAATGGCCTCTGGGACTGCCTCTTCTGCCTGCTCTTTCCCCACCTGGCTCCCAGGCTGCCTCCAGCCATCCCAGGAGGGACTGCGAGCCCTGGAACTGTGCAAAGGGGGCAGCGTGGGGACCCCTGACAGGCAGGACTTCCCCAATAAAGGGGGCTTTGTGTGCCCTTCTCTGGCTGCAGCATCTTTGTGCCATGATGGTGTCTGGATGGCCATGCCTTGGTCTGCCCCACCTGTGGGAAGGCAGAGCAGCTGCTGAGCCTGTGGGAGATCCCTTCCCAACCCTGGGAGAGTGCTGCCCAGGGCAAGGGAGCAGCCTCTGGGGTAAGGTTGCAAGAGGATCTGCAGTGGTGAGCCCCAGTGTGACCTGAACAGGGCTGACGCCTCCCTGCCCGTAACAGAGACACTTGTGCATGCAGCGTGAAGCCGGTCACCTTTATTGGCCCCTCTGGCAGCTGTCAGACGTTGTTGGGGTTGTAGCACAGCATGTTCAGCTTGATGTTCTCATCCCAGTGACGCAGCAGCAGGAACAAGTGTCTGGCCGCCCCTTTGAGGCAGGCCACGTCCACCCCCTCGGGCAGCCGCTGCGCCTGCAGCCATGCATCTGCCTTGGCTGCCACCAGCTCCCACTCCTCAAAGAAGCCAGCGCAGCGATGCTCCAGCCATGCCAAGGCCACTGCCGTGGCCCAGCTGGCACTCTCCAGGTCCTCCGGCCCCACGTCCTGCCAGTTCATGCCAGCCTCAGAGGGGGCAGCCGAGTGGGGGCCGGTGTCAGACTCTGAGCCATGCCCGCTATCTGCCTGTGCCCACACAGCTGCACTGGGCACCTCAGAGCAAGTGCTCTGGGATGGGGGTGAGCTGGGCTGAAGGGCTGCGGCAGGCTCCTCGCCTTCTTCACTGCCAGGCCTTGCGTGGAGGCTGCTCCTGGCCCCTGGGGACACAGGGCTGAGGCTAGTGTGGTGGGAGGCATAGGGGGAGGCCCGGCGCAGGCGATCCAGTGGGATCTGCACCACGTCGGAGAAGCTTTCGGTGAGCTGGAATGGGCCCCTGGCTTGCTGCAGCTGGACCTGCAATAGCGGGGCAGGTTGGCTGGGTGGGGGGGGGGCAGGCAGGGGCACAGACCCACTGCAGCCCCCAGCACCCACTGGTGGGTCTGTAGGGGCGTCCTTGGGGCACAGGCACTGCCCAGTGTACCGTGTGCTGGTGCTGCCAGGCATTGCCTGAGTGGTGCAGCTGCAACCCAGCAGGGTGGGATGGGGATTGGGTCCTTACCAGCGGGAGGTAGTCATGGTTGCTGGAGCGCTCGGTCTCAGGGCTGAGGCCCTGCAGGCGCAGCGCCAGGCTGGGCCCCCTGCGCCTGCTCAGGCTAAACCTGCAGGGATACAGGTGAGTTGGAGGAGGGGACACACAATTCCAGCCTGGTGCAGGGAAGGGGCTGGAGCATTAACCCCTCTTATTCTGCTGGACCTAGCAGGACACATCAGACAAGCAGCACCGTCCCCCTCTCCCTGCAATGTTTGGGCCCTTGCGTCCCTCCACCCAGAGCCTCACCTAGAGCCACTGATACTCTCTGTGGATTTCTGGGAGCCCATGGAGGTGGTGGAGGGGCTGGATGGAGGCCCTGCAATGGGGGAGAACTGAGCATGAGAGGTCATGGTGTACACAGAGGTGCATCCTGCTCCCTGGAACCCAGGGTGAACCCCCATTCCCCACCATCCAGCCCTTGGCCCCCTCCACCCTGGACTCACCGTTCAAGAAGTTCTGCTTTTCCCCACCATAGACAGGGGAGGAGATGCTGGCTGGAGACGCAGGGGTCTCGCCTCGCTCTGAAAAAGAGTGAAGCCTTGATGGTCCCCAGGCTCACAAGACCTTCACAGCCCACAGCTGCTGCCAGGGGCTGCTATGCTGCTCCCCCCCATATCTCCCCAGCATGGGGCAGACCCCTCTTCCTGGGCATCCACAGTGTTCCAGCCAGGACAATGCCCCACTCAGCCATGAGCCAAATGTCCACAGGGGCTCCAGTGCTCAGGCAGCTCCCTGGGGAGCATAAGCTGATACAAGTACCTGCAGTGACAGGAGCCTCATCCAGCTCT